CTGCCTGTTGTTTCTTTTGGCATATAAAATAGGCATTGTCTAATAGGGATATCAATAAAGGTTCATCTGTGTCGCAGAACTGGTGTTGCTTCCGATTTCTACAAGCTCAATAACATCCACAGCAAAAAATAAAAAATAAATAAAGAAATAAATAGTCGAAAAACTGTGCCCATTAATTAGATGTGCAAGGCAATCAGGGATGTTTTTGGGGTTGCTACGGACAACTACAAATGTAAACATTATTAGGCTATAATGTAAATGACTTATTATTCTATCTATTTACTAAAAAATAAAGTGAAATAGGCATTTAGTAGTAGGCTAAATAGCAGCATGTTGAAATGATGTGTCAATGCGTTTTCTATTAGGCTACAATAAAAAAGTTGTATAGTAGCTACAGTGCGTTTAATTTAGGCTATTTATTTATTTTTGTCCCTGTGCGCCGATTGGAGACGGAGTTCACTGCTGATATTCTGAGAGCTCGGGTGCTTCTCATTTCTTATTTGTGTATCCTCGTTTCCTTTCCTTGCTTTCTTTCCTCGTACTTCCACCCCACGTTCGAGGGAAGGACGCAAGGAAAGACTCAAGGACCGAGGAATTGAATCAAGTGAAAAGACACGTCCTCGTATCTTTAGCGTCACTTCAAAGCGTCAATTAATGACTTGCACGTTTGGATTAACTGCATGTCTCCATTAAAGTCATTCTCTATTCTATAATGAGCAATAAAGAAACATTTATTTAATAATAAAAAAGGAATAAGCCATTCAAATAAAGAGACCAATCAGCAAATGGCGGGCGGGTGCGGTTTTAAAAATTGGTAAAAAATGTTACTGCGGATGGATGGCGGACGGATGATGATTTTTGTCATGCGGTTGCGGATGAAATAATAGCCCATCCGCGCATCTCTACTAAGCACGCTTGTCCCCCCTCCCGTCTCCCCTGATGGCCCGCACTCACATAACAATCGGGCCTGGGCACGATTACGTCATCGATGCTGCGCTGTTCAGTAAGCGCTCTCGCTCAGCACAGTGGAGATTTCTCAAGTTATATCGCTTTAGTCCTTAGGGATGCGGTGACACGCAGACAGATATTTCTAACAGATCCACCACTTTTGACGCTCATAAACAATCATAAAGCCCTTGTGCTGCAGGAATTAGGAGGTTTGCTGAAGGTGCGCAGCTGTGGTGTAGTAAGTGGTTTGCGTCTTCAAAGTAACAACGACAGTTTGCGTTCATTGAACAGTAAGAATGATTAAATAATCCATATGAAACAGTCCCTTAAAAGTCACGTCTAGCTTTCAGTTTCGGGCTTTGGCGCGTTTTGCACTCACACACAAGCGTACAAAGCACAAGTGAACCGCGCCTGAGCCCGATTCAGTGAACTCACACTTCTCAAACGGTCTGGGAAACGGGCCTGGGCATGGTACGGACAGCATAGTGTGAGTAGGCCCTAATACTCTGCTTAAAGCCCCCATAATTTATTAAGATGCTACTGAATTGCCGCACAAAACAATTCCAATTCTAACAATTCTAAACTTTTGTGCAAACAAGCCAGGCTCAGGTAAACTTCCATTGAGAAGCATTTGCCATTAATACATGGGGCATGTTAAAGGGTCACGAAACACCAAAACACATTTTTTGAGCTGATGACAGTCGTGTATGTGTCCCACACTGCTAAAAACACTATTAGGACACATATATTTCACTAAAAAGAGAAAACAGTTTTTTTGCGTTATTTCGAGCAAATTCCTACTTTCGGTATGAAAGTAATTTTTGAAGCTGCCCCACTGTGTTTGGATAAGTTTGGATTTGTTTTGTGACAGCAGCTTAAAGACACTTCTCATATGTAGAGCGAAGTCACATGGATTACTGAATGTTTTCCAAAGACTTCAACAAAGTGTAAAAATCTTGATGGTTTTGGGGGGTTTTCTATCCAAACTGAACTTTATTTTGTATTTTCTATTGAATTCAAGTCAGGCGATTGGCTATGCAATTGTCCAATTACTTTTGGACCCTTAACAAGTGGGAGGCACATATGCAAACTGTTGTAATTCCTACAGTGTTTTGGATGTAAATACCCTCAAATCAAAGCTGGCAGTCTGCAGTAAAATGCACGTTTCATTAGAATTGTGCCGATATCCAACTATTTATGGACCTACCTGTATGTATTTCTTTGGTTGTTATCAACATCTTCTTTCAGGTCAACAGCACCAACAGAAATATGCTTTCTGAGAAATAGTGACGTGTTGAATACTTATTCCCCCCCACTGTATATTTTCTATTAATAAAAAGCATCATTGGTAAGCTAAAGAAACTTTTCAAAAACACATAGAATAATTAAAAAAATCCCCAACCACAAACTTCTGAACTAGGGATGCTCATTTCGGTTAATTTTGCTAACCGACAACTGCCGTTTGTTAACCGGATATTAACGGTTAACTGGTCAGATTAATATTCAATTATTATTAAATAAAATAAATAAAAAATAATTGACATGTCTATTTTGTGTCTGGCACACTAAATATTGCATTTTAAAATACTGATTTATTTTAACATGCTAGCATATTAATAACAGAACATAACAACAGAGCATCTGATCAAGTCTCAGATTGCTCGCCTATAGTTAGTGCAAAACGCAGCAGGTAGATTCTTAACAAAAAGCCCGAAATATGCACACATCACTCCTATTCTGAGGTCTCTACATTGGCTACCGGTAAAGCAAAGAATCAAATTTAAAATCCTTCTCTTTGTGTATAAAGCCCTACATGGTCTAGGCCAGGGCTATTCAATTGGCGGCCCGCGGGCCGAATCAGGCTTTAGTTCAGTCGTCAAACGGCTACTAGTTCAATAACAGCACATACTGCAGTAAAAGGCTGCACAGAGCTTGGGTCATCATAAGCGAGTGGTGCGGGCAGCCGAAAACATGTTTGTAGAAAAGACTATTTGTACAATGCACTGATATCGTTAATAGGGATGCAACGATTAGCCGATTTCAGTATTAACTGCGCTTTAATTTGTCACAGTTTATTAATCGTAAAGTCTTCTCTAAGCCGCATTTCTGTTGCACGGAACGTAACGAAACCGCTGCAAAATGCCAATTGGCCTGTGTGCTAGTTTTAAGTTTGAAGAACACCGAGAGTAATATGCACGCACACAGGATTAACTATAGCAGCGGCCGTTTCCATATCACGTCTTTTCCGCTTGCAAGTTTGTTATTTCTAATGTAAGAAAATATGACAATATGCGGGCGCCAGCGGAGCGTCGTGCTTGCGTCTTTCTGGGCGCACGCAGTAGAAAACATCCCACAGTGAGATTTGTGCGTGCCTTTTAGTGCAATGTAAACAAAAGACATGTTAGACGAACTATTATTAAAATGATTATGTATGCATGAATGCAGATGGCAACAACAGTTAATCTTAATAGCTAATTACCTAATATAAAGCTTGAATATACATTAGACATGATAACAGTGAAAGCATGATTATTCTTCAGACTATATAATTGTACAACCAAAATCTATAATTGTTGCATCCCTAATTGTTATGCAGTTCAAAACATAACATATGAAAGTGTTTGAATGTAGAAGCAGCCTACTTCAGCAATGCACTGCTTTTGTTGTGCTCTGAAATACTGTACAACATTTGAATGTTTGTAAAAAAATAATAAAAATTGTTTTAAAAAGTCTATTGTACAATGTCACTGATATTATGTAGTTTCGAAATACAATATATTAACATTTTAATGTAGAAAAAGCCAACGTGGGTGTCTTAAGGAGCAAAAATACATAGCATATTGGCTCTTATATGCAGTTGTGTCATCACTTGTATAGCAAGTTATATCTCTCCGGCCCTTCGTCTGGGATGCTTTTCATGAACCGGCCCCCATGACAAACTAACTGAATAGCCCGGGTCTAGGCCCTCATTATTTATCCCAACTGATTGTTAATTACACTCCTCCAAAAAACTTGCATTCCGCTGATCAGTTCTTATTAAAAGTTCCAAAGGCCCACCTCAAAAGTAGGGGTGAACGTGCTTTTGCCATAGCAGGTCCCCGCCTCTGGAACTCTCTGCCATTAGAACTAAAAAAGGCTTCGTCGCTGCCTATTTTTAAGTCTAAATTAAAGACGCACTTATTTTCTATGTCTTTTGATGCATAAGTCTTTCTCTTTCAGAAGGGGGGGGGGGGGGGGTGTTGGGAGTGTGATCAAAACGGCCATGTTCTCTATCGTGTTTAGTGTTGGTCAATTGTGATAGCATCTTTTAATGAGGAAAACAAATATTTTAGTGTTATTATTATTTTTTTTTGCTCTTTTATTGATAATCTTTCTATGTTCCTTCCCATTATGTGCCTATTGCTGTTTTTACTGTTTTATGCTCATATCATTTGTTTATTTTCTCTCTGTAAAGCACTTTGTGCAGCCTTGTGGCAGTTTTAAACGTGCTATATAAATAAATAGAACTTGAACTTCATTCAAAATTGTCCGCCGCGCCATCTAGTGGCTGTTTCCCAGATTGCACTAGAGTGTTGCCTCTTGGTGATTCTATGCTCTTTGCCTTTAGTAAACCATTCAAAAGATGCCCCTCTTAATGCAAAGAGTATTCAATCGGCCCCTTATGCAGCCAAACAAAAAATATATAAAATAATGTTTTTAAAATAACATTAATCAGTAACAAATGCACCCTTTCGGTTAACGGTTATTATTTTGAGCATCCCTATTCTGAGCAATTTTGTAGATATGATTTTCATATCTCAACGCACACATGCAATACAAAGATCGTCTTCACTGCATTAACAACAGAAAGTTTGATGAATTCATTTTTCAATATAGTTAAAGAGTACAGTTGTTAATATGCATATACTTATATATTGCTCAAATGACGATTTAATGAATCATACAAAACACTAACACAGGACGGCACAAACAAAGTGTGACATCGAATGCAATCTTCTCCATGCTGCACCAAGAAAGTAAATGTGATATATTAGTATGAATATTAAACTCACGGTAATGATCAGCAGGATTCCTTTCAGCAGCGTCAGCAGTGACGTGATTGGCTGAATGATGATCTGGGCCAGCAGAATCCCCAACGACAGCGTCCATGTAAATGCAGGGATCACGTAGACATGACTGCAAAAACAAAATCAGGCAAACAGTCATCTTGTCCCCCAGAGATTTAAATTACAGCTTCAGTAACTCCAAATAATACAAAACACCACCTCTCAAAATTACAGACTGCAGTGAGAGGAAATGACAACAGCACAATACAACCGTAAGACAAGTATTCTTTACAATTTCCCTGAAAAACATAGACTCGGTCTCTCTAAATCAGATTCTGAATGAGAAGAGGCAGACTTCTCATCTCAAAAGGAAACAAAAGGGGGGCAGGTAATTGTTTTGAAGTGTCTGTCTCTATCTGATAAGAGCGCCGTCTGATCCAGTGCTCTGTAATTCAGTGAACTTCACAAACGCTTCCATTATTTTTTTATTGCAAACTATGCTCAGAAGACAAACACTGTCAAAAAGCATACCAATGATCACACAGGAAGTCAAAGGTATGGGACAAGAACAAAACACAAAGTCCTACAGAATATTGCAAAGGGACACACACACAAAATGGTCTATTTCATATAACAAATTCACAGTGGCCAGGAACTGTCAAGCTTCAAAAAGAACAAATCCATCGCTTAACTTTTTTGGAGCTTGACAGACTGCTGATTCCAGCAAAAGATCTATGGAAAGTTACTTATTTTTACTTCTCATACAGGTTTGTGTGTAGTTTTTACCCTAGAAAGCAACAACAGAGAGGTTCAGAAAATTGACTGAATGTTTTATTTTTTATTTATAAATGATGAGAGGCCCGTAGCCAGCTTGGTGAACCCTGAACACTGTTGCAAACAATTTATTTGCGTTGAATTTAAACGAACAAATTTAATTTAATAATGTTCAACTTAATTTTTTTGTTTAAATTCAGCCCAAATTCATTGTTTACAACCACTTAACGTAAAAAAAAAATGAGTAAATCCAAGGAATCATTTTTGAATTATTTTTTTTCAGTGAATGGGGTGTTTTTTTTCTCAAAAAGTGGACCTTTATGGAGTTTTACACCTCATTTTCTATTTAATTATGAGCTTTAAATACATTTTAACACTATGTTTAGCTGAATTAGCTTGTTGGATGGTCAAACCACACTTATTAATGTACCAAAAATATTTTCTTGATTTAGAATAAACAAATATGAAAAAAATAAGGAGTTCAGATGCAAAACCCTCTAAATCCATCAGAACTCTTTTTTTTTTTTTTTTTTTTTGTAAATGAACATTTTCTATCAGGCTCCTATAATTAGGTTCAGAAGTTTCATTTTAATCTATTAAAAAACTAAGCATATTTAAGCATATCTATTTGTTGAACATGTACTACATCTGCCTACAGCATTCACTCAATGTCATTATCTTAAATTTATTACATCATACATATATATTTTTTTTAAATCTGTTTTAAATTAAAAACAAGGTAATTGTAATTTATAAGGCAAATCATAAATAACAAACTGGCCAGCAAAATCAGCTTTCTTCAGTCAGATTTGGCCATTTGAATAGAAAAAAAAGAGAAAAGATTAACAACAATAACGTAGAGCTTCACAATTTTACAGCCTTTTTCAAAAAAATAATAATAAGTGCATTTGGAAATTCATGGATAACAACAATGTTTATATATATATATATATATATATATATATATATATATATATATATATATATATATATATATATATATATATATATATATATATATATATATATATATATATATACATATATACTACTACTACTACTAATTTAGTTACTTATTTTGCTGCATTGTGTGGGTCTTACTTTAAAAACTAAATGGACATATAACTCATAATGGTGGAGATGGACTTTAGGAGAAACCCCCTTGCTGGCAGCAGTGGAGTCATTCAGGTTACTGGGCACCACTATCTCCTAGGACCTGAAGTGGGTCACTCACATTGACTCCATTGTGAAAACAGCCCAGCAGAGGTTGCACTTCCTTCGTCAGCTGAGGAAATTCAACCTGCCACAGGAGTTTCTGCCACAGTTTCACTCGGCTGTCACCGAGTCTGCTTCAGATCAGCCACCAAATCAGATATAAGAAGGCTGCAATGGACTGCCAGGACAGCTGAGAGGATTATTGGTATACATCTGTCCAACCACCAGCACTTGTTCACCTCCAAAATGAAGAAATGGGCATGCAACATCATTTAAGACCCCTCTCTCCCAGGCTACAAAGTGTTCACACTTCTTCCCTCAGGCATACACTACATACCTGTATCCATATCCAACATAAATCATAAGCACATTAGTTGGTGCCTGTTTTCTTAGGGTATAAACACAGTACATAAATGTAACCAATTTAGTGAACCTAATTGAGGTTTACTTATTTACACATTTTTGTTATTACACACTCTGTTAAACAAAAATCACATGCATTTTTCTACGCACATATTGAAAGTGTAGACAAATACTTGTCATTAGAACAAATGCAAGTAATATGATTTGCACATATCTGCATTTAAATTTGGCTTTAATCTTTTTCAGATCACATTAAAGAAAATTCGGTAACACTTCATAATAACTACACCACATTATAAATAATTTACTAAACATTAGCAAATAGTGAATTCATTATCTGTTAAGCATTAACTCTACATTAATAAACATAATTAAAAAGGTTATAACTGCAGCTAGAAATCCTGTATTCTTGACTTACAAACAGATTTAGAACGTGCTTAATAATTGTACTTTGATACTTTGTTAATGATTTCTTTTTCTTTACTCAAGGAAGAATTGGATTATTTACAAAGCATTTGTATTTAAGGGTAGTTAAGGGGTTTTTAGGATCATTGAGAATGAGTTCATAAATTATTAATAAACTATTAAAATCAATGTTTATATGTCTTATTATTCTGGCATATATTAATGGTTACTATGTATGTTAATAAATGCTTTGTTAACTCAACTTCATGCAGTTTTGAGACCCAATGTAAAGTGAGGACTATTCATGCTATATAAATCAAAGGCTTAGTTATATTATAAACAGGAAAAATGACAAACTATATTACTGCACTTCAAATGAAAAATGAATCTGCAACCTTATCTAAAATCACTGTAGAGTTTATACATTGCATCTTATTATATTGTTAAATGATTATATTGTTGTTGTGTTATCCAGTTTTATGTCGTATTTTGACTCTCCTGTTATTTGGCAATGTTTAAACTTTACAGTAATTTTACTTTTTAGGAAAGATTGCAAAGATTATCGTTCATTTGATTCTGAGCCTTTAATAGACATTTATAAGGGATTTATAAAGCATGAATAGTCCTCACTTTAGATTAGGTAGCAAACCTGCATGAAATTGATAATAAATAAAATAAAGCATTTATTAACATATGAATTACCTATTAGTATATGCCTGAATAATTTGATATATAAATGTTGATTTCAATCGTGTATTAATCATTTACTAACTCATTCTAAATTATCCTAAAAACTCTCAACTTTTAAATACAAATGGTTTGTAAATAATGTGATACATCATTTAGTAATGAAAAATAAACCATTAACTAAGTATGAAAATACAATTGTTAAGCACATTATATAGGTGCTTATAAGTCAAGAATAGAGCTTTTGTAGTTGCAGTTATAAACTGCTTTCTAACGTTTATTAATGTAGAGTTAATGCTTAACAGATAATGAGTTCACTAGATGCTAATGCCTTATAAATGATTCATAGTGTGTAGTTATAAAGTGTTACCGAAAATTAATTTCAGTTTGACTGCTCTTATTGGACTTTGCATCACATTATGTAATCGAGTTTGATACTTAAAAATTACACTGTTAAAGTAGGGTACAAAGAGTGTGTCAATTTTGACCTCCCATCTCTAAGGGTGCCTTCACACCTGTGAATCGGTTCAGTTGTTCCGAAACAGAGATTACAAATGTTACATTGTTGCTCTTTGCTCTTGGAGCAGTTCGCTTTCACACTGTAAAGTTTCTAATCGGACTAAAAGAGCTAAAACAAGTCACGTGTGAGTAAACTCTCCTCAAATTGGTCATAGTGTCAGGGTTTTTTTTGCAGCGTCCCGCTCAGCTGTCAGGAGAGGTGGTGGTTTGGTGGTGATTGACAAGTTCCGCGCGCCCGATGTGTCTGAGGAGAGATGCAGTAGGGAGGGGTGAGAAAGGTGCGCGACGATGCCTATTTGAGGACCGGGATGGAGACGCGAGATTACCGGGAGATCATCACTCATTTGCGGGCATCCGGAGACTCGCGAAACTTCCCGCCCTACTCATAATTCTCTCTTCATATAGCCGTAAGCCTATTGTATATCCATAAAACACTGTGATATAACCGCGCTTGGATCGGATCGCTTTCTAACTGCAATCGAACCGCTCCACGGTTTGTTTCAATACAGCCGAGACCACCTAAATCAGGCCGCCTCGGAGCGATTACTTTGGCGCGGAACAGAGCGCGATTGCCCTGTTCACATATGCCAAACGAACCGTGCTAACTGGGCAAACGAGACAGGTTCTGAAACAAAAGTGTAGGTGTGAAAGCACCCTAACACTATTTATACACCACAAAGACTACAAAAAAGACACACACATGTAAACGCACATCACACAACACACAACCTGACACACTGACATGCACACAATAAGATAATAAGAATCTGAAATCTGAATGAGTATATTGTATTTCTCTCATCTGAAATAAACTGAACTGAACTTTAACATTGAAACTTATACAAAACTTAACTGAACCAGTTTTAAGTTAACTAAAAAAAAAGCAGCTTTCTAAAGTGCTTTCCTGCCTTCTTGGTTTGTCAAAATGTTCCACAATCTGATATGTTTTTATGGCTTTTTGTTTTTTAGGTCTATATGTTCAGCTGCTTTGGCACACTCTACATTCTACACTTTAAAGTGCTATAGAAATAAATAAAAAAATAAAAAGAATTAAATTAAATGCATAGACATGCCGCACAGCAAGAAGGTCACTGGTTCGAGCCCCAGCTGGGTCAGTTTGCATTTCTATGTGGAGTTTGCATGTTCTCCCCGTGTTCACGTGGACTT